TTACTGTCCTAGTATTTTTGCGTCTCATAGGGGATTCAAGAGAATGGCGAAGGTGGGGGAAGGGGGAGGAGACAGCGAGATATATCTTTGATTTTCACAGATGCATATAATAGTCATTTAAGCATCTTATTTTTTTTTTTCTTTGAAAATTGGTAGATGGACAGAGATTTTTGAGTTCCCGTGATTCAGACTGATCGCAAAATGAAGTTTCTGGATGATTTTAATATATATCGCTTCTCCTTTGATTCTTTTTTGTCGTTTTTCCAGTACTTCATTGAGAGCGCCCATCTTGAATAAAGGGAAGCCCGTGCTGACAGAGTCCGGCTTAGCCTAGCAGCGTATCAGATTTAGAGGGTTTGCGAAAAATCTCGTGTATTGATTAATTTTTTGAAAGCTTTCTGTGGTTTCTAAACATACTAAAATATTTGCTGTTTCACAGGAAACGACAAAAACATTGCCAATTCCTGATGCAGAAAGTGACAAGAAAACAGCGGCGGCGGCAGCCACGGAAGATAGCGAAAATGATAAGAGCACAGCCTGTGAAAAGCCACCAAACGCAAGCAGTGTAAAGAAGAAGCAGCCAGTCAAACAAATGCTAATAACGACTGTTTAAATTTGTTGTTTTTTTTTTACCCTTGCCTATTTTAAAAGTATTTTTTGAGGCCCTTTTTAACTTCTTATTTCAGAATGAAAAATCAAGCAAATTTAGCAAAGATCATTTTTTTTTACTAGATTTTATTTTAAATTTGAATTGTTTTTTCCTCAGGGCCTTATTTCAATTTTTTGTTTTAAAATGTAAAAACGAAAAAATGTTGAAAAGATTAATTTTTTTTGTCATATTTTACCCAAATTTCAATTTTTTGAAGCCTTATTTTAGTCTTCTGTGTTAAAATAAAAAATTTTGAAAGCATTAATTCCTTAACAGATCTCATTTTGGATTATTTTGAAATCCGTTTTAAATTTGCTTTGAAAAATCGAAAAAACTTGAAGAAAATTTTCGGAAGATTATTCTTATATTAGTTGTTTATTCGAAAGGCTTGAGAATTTTATCAAATTATACTAGTTCTGGATCTTAATAACTTCCATTTCTTAGTTCTAATTTGAGAGCTCTTTTTTCTGATCAGATTTTGATTTAATTTTATATCTTTTTGGCAAAACATGAAAAATTATTTTTTTTTCCGAAAATTTATTAAATACACGACATTTTTTTGGATAGATCGATAATCCAATTCCGGCATAGTTCAGGTTAGTTTCTTAAATTTACGAATTTATTGGCAGGGCTGAAACGGTTTGGGTTGAAAATTTTCTCCCTTTTTCCCCTTGATTTTCGTCCAGTTTTTAACACGGATAGGCAAGTATTTGTACTCTTGACAACGTCACGAGCTCCACGGTGAATATTTTTGGTAGCAAATCTGCTTTGTTTCCTGAAGTTAATGATTGTCCGGGCCACCCGGTTGTATGTTGATTTCGCCCTGTCTTTGCTGCTTCCCCCCGTTCCCTCCAATTCCCGTACCCTTTTTTTCCCTCATTCCCTCCTGCTTTCTCATCAAACGCTTCCAGACAGACACATTTCTTATTTTGGCACTAGTATTTCATTATTTTCGGTGTGAAATTTGCAAAAATTCTCCGGGTCCTTATAAGTTCTGGCGCTTTAGCTTGTATTTTGAACAGCCTGCTTTTGAAGCCATGATTATAGCAGCTTCTTGAAAATTGCTTTTTTGCGCTATTTTGCATTATTTCATTTATAGCCCGTGCCTTTTTTTTTGTTTCCATGAATTTCCTTTTCATGCAAATTTTTTGCCTTATTTTTGAGGAAAATTTGGTAAATTAGGAAAGTTTTAACATTTCGTATATATATATATATTTTTTGGCATTTTCAACAAATCTTTGGGTTTTTGAAATACAAAGGAATTGTACTTTTCGTTTTCTCTTTATCTCTCTCGTATAATTATGTTTGAAAAAATCAGCTGATACTTAGGGATTCCAGAACTAAAATTTTAGTGAGTGCAAAAACCCGTGGTTTCGCGTTAACTTGATTCTAAATGTGTTTTCGTTTTGGTTATTCAGTTTGATGAATTTGTACATATGTTTTGCATGTTACCGATGTTAAAACTTTTTGTGCTAATTTTGCGCTAAAAATCGACCACGATCGTCTGCCCCTTATGG